CCCCCCCCCCCCCCCCCCCACCCCAGGCGTGGGTGCACAGCCCATGGCCCTACTCGTGACGGCACTTTTCGCGCTCGAATGCCAATTCATTGACTTAGCAACGCTTTTAACCGTATGCTAACTATCAAATATTTCCTGCGCAACTTCATCTTGGTCAGACAGCAGACGATCCAAGACGCTCCGCCTAAATGGCTCGCTCCTTCAATCTGCATGGGTTGCCCCGCTGGAAGTGCCAGTTGTCGCATTGTCGTTTTAATTCGATGACTGTTTCTGATCACAATCACCTGCTGCAGCTGTTTCTAGATCGTTCTCAAGTGTTGAAATAGCAAGTGTCGAGCGCCTTGCTTTTCGAAATTCGCTCGGAACGATCCCGAAGTCCCTTCGATTCTCTTAGCAATTACAGCTGTCCAAACATAGCGGCATGTATTTGTGTTATGCAGCGTTCGTTCTTCTTTCATCCTTTATTATAAGTAAATAAGTCGTCTGAATCCTATAAAAGCGGATCACTTTCGATGGTACGAGGAGTGTCAGGAAATGGTGTGCTTTCAGAATCGTTGCGTTATGCCCGATTCTTCTACTAAAGGTACTAATGATAATCGACTTGAAGTGGTGGATGCGGATGTGATCGAAACAGTGGAATATCTTCTGGACAATATTCGTCTAGAACCTACCTCTGAAGGTAGCTCAAAAGTTAGCACAGTTCCTGGTCCATCGGAGGTTCCACGAACGAAAGATGATTCTTCCAAATCGGTCATCAAAGAAATCGCCAAAGAGGTTGTGAGTTGTTCGGATGTCAGAACTTAATTTCATTCAAATTTCCGGTGAATAGGAAGAGAGTGGATCAATATTAATTTCAGAAACCTGTGGAACCGAGAGTGCCACCAAGCCTGGATGACGAGCGTGACATATTCAAGGTTCGATTTTATTTTGTAAAGTCGCTACCACATGCATTGGACTTGAATTTTATGATTATACTTGATTTATCGCTTAATATTGAGCGTATCATTGCAGAATTCTGAAGCTTTATTTCAATCTTGGCAACTCGCCAAATCCTATGTCTTGTTTTTCTCCATTGGGAGCTGCCCCTATTGTTCCGTTTTGCCAGCCCTGATTTCTATAAATATCAACGAATAGCGCTTTGTTATTGTAGTGTCTTCTGTTATTTCCTGTTTCATGTCTTTGCAAGCATGTTGTGAGCAGTCCTTTCCTGTTTGTATGCAAACGAAGGGTAAATCTTTACGTTGTAGTCCCAGGAGCTATATTCACGTGGGTAGAAATGGTGTTTCTTGAGCGGAGTGTCTTGAAATGTTGGTTGTCCCATTACTGATATCGATCGAATTTCAGCTCAAAGCCGTTCAGTTCAATTCGAACAAAACGTCTATTGTCACCCAAAATTTAAATGGTCCATGTCCATTAATAGCTCTGGTCAATGTGCTTGCACTTAAAGGTCTGATCTATCATTTCGATATATTGTTGTCCTCCCTTTGTTGTCTATTACTTCAGACTATACTTTTAAGGGTTAACGAAACTCCCCGGAAATGGCCACATAACGAGAGACGCCCTCACCCACCTGGTACTTTTTTCGGTTCATTCTCAGACGTTAGGAAAGAGAACAGAGAGATCATACTTCAGATTGCAGACGCGCTGCTCCAGATGCGGCCTAATAACATGGCCGTACATGTAGAAAGTAATTATGATAGAAACCTCGACGATGTTATAAATCTTCTACCAGACTTAGGGCGTGGGTTGGACGTCAATGTCAGGTATGAAACATTCATACCATCTGAGATGCATATTTTCCTTAGAAGAATCCAGTTTCACTCCATACACAGACCTATCTCTATTCGTTCAGATTTCGGCACGTTACTGACTTTGAATTTACACCAGCTCTGTCGTTATTTGATTTACTTCGAGTAAACTTATACCACGGATGGCTTCCGGATCCTCAATTCGTGGAAATTAGTACGTTTTACAATACTTACTTGTCATATAAATATTTTTTTCCAAAGCATAGCTTTGTGTACTTTTAGGAAAAGCTGTCGGAGACCTAACTTACAACCAACTTGTGGAGCAGATATGTGACGAAGAGAATCATAATCGATTATTACTGCAAGAGTTTTTGGACGAGAATGTCACGCAACTGACTTACCATGGATTAATTGGTCTCATGGAGGCAATGCAAGATGGGGAGTTAGCAGTGTTATTTCGAAACAACCATTTTCATACGATTCATAAGAGAAAGGTGGGGTATTTGGAATTGGTTTTGATTGAGTTATATTTATCATGAGACTTTTTATTTTTATATGACTGACGTAAGTTCACGCGTCCAGAGTGCAAAAAAACAACCTGCCTCTTGCTATGACCCATTTCAACTTTTTTGCTGCTCTACTACGAGGGTCGGAAAATTACACCCGCGAGTGTTTCTGTCTGTCTCCCTATCTTTAGATACCGTTTTTTAACTTGAGCTGNAACCGGCGACCACCAATTCAAGCGTATTCAAAACTCAAGGTATCCCAAATACCTTCAAAAAATTTTGTCTTCAAATTTTCCCAAAGGCGATGTTCCCCCCTTATTTCTTCTGGGGCTTGTATCGTAATATGCTTGCCCTGCATACCATTGAATTCGTTCCTCGCAGGAAATTTTTCCTCATGGTGTGTCTCGTGTTTCAATCCTGCTCCTCGAGCGCTTCCACGCAAGAAAACACCGACAACATGTGTGCATGTAAAATTATGTTTTCTTCGATTTCCTGTATCCTTTTTCTATTCAGGATCTGCTTTACTTACTTGTGTCTGATAGTGGTTACGTTAACGAGCCGTCTATTGTTTGGGAGTCCTTCAACAATGTTGACGGAAGTTCGATTTTTTTCGCGAGCGATTTCACTGTTGGTTCTCCTGGTACTAGTAACCCAACAAATGAACCAATGGGTCCCTGCTCAACAGATATCGAGTACGTTACAATTATGACCTTTCTGAACCTTTTTGAATTTTGGCAACGAAAAAAAAAATTGATCAGTTCTAGCTTTTTACTAGCACAAGAGATGCAAGCTCGTGAAGAAGAACTCGCCAGAAAAGAAGCTGAAGAGGCAGCGAGACAAGCGGCTTCAACGCAAAATCAACGCTATGCATCTACCACTGAGGAGAGGTTTGTTCTAATTCAGTTATACGCATTTTTACTTACAGTTTCTTCAATTTAACTCTCCTGACTGTTCACTAGGGGGCTCTAACATTTCTGCGGGCGTAAGAGCAGTGCCCTTGCAGATTGAAAACATATTTCTCTATTTGAGACTAGTCCCACGGTTCGTCCGTATACGCACGTTATCGGTTTTAGGGCCTCATTTCAGATTAGAGTCGCCTATGCATATATTCCCTGCTATTCCCTTGAACCTTAACGAATTGGTGTCCGTTGCTTTTCGTGGTCGGTCACATAGCCCTTTTTAAACCCTTTCTTGAGTCATTTTGCTGCGTCCGGCATGGAGAGCTTGCTTTTTAGTAAAACACCACTTGCTGCGTGACCAGCTCTATCGCCCCATATCTCATTACTGTGAGATTTTTCTTCTGTATTTTTCGGACCGGATTCGATAGTTTTCTTCCCCGCATTCAAAGAATTATTTCAAGTGTTAGGGTATGTTGAACATTAAACGTTACTGCTTTTGGGAAGTTGAATTCGAAACTGAACATTAGGTGCCTGTGTTCCCACAAAGTGTTACACTTCAAAATTTCGGTATGTTCCTTCACTGCCATCGTTCTCACTTATGCACGAAACCACAGGAACACTACCTTGAATTCAGTATCAGTCACTATGAACCTGTATTGTTATAGGCATTCTGCACGCGAGAGGGCACCTCACAAGAGTAGCAAACCTGTTGCAACAAGCGCAGGGGCTAAAGATAAGAAGGTGGGTAATTGTTTTCTTCTGAAAAATTGATAGAAATTTAACTTGTGTCTGTCGTCAAATAGGAAATAAGGCCGTGATGCTTCTTATTATCCTTCTTGAGTTGTACATCTTCTGAAGTACAATTTAAGACATGAAAGTCACTGTTCATGAGCTGTTTCGGTCGTTTTCCCCGGCTTACCCGATATTTCAAGTATGAGATGAACTAGGAAAGGCACTTGTGTTGGAATAGCAAGGCAGAACAGGCAAGATTGAATACCTGAACGGGGATGTTCCAAGCATGACTCGCGTGAGTCATTGTCTTATGATGGATGACGCCATGCCGACACCAACGCTACTCTGACGCATTTCGCCTAGCGACTTTCGCCTTTCGCCCACTAGCCAGCGCAAAGTATGACGGAGACCAGTGAGAGCATCTTTCTTTGCTCACCCGATCACCTACAAATTACTCCCACACCCTATATGCTTTCTTTCATTTTTTCTTCCCATTTCATAATTTCAAAATGTATCAGGTTTGTACACTCCTATAATTACCTTTAATTATTTTCAACTTTAGCTTTTCCGACTTCTTTTTCTGCAGACGTCGTTGTGAATGTGAAAGAACCAGATGTGAATTGTGTCCTATGACTTGCTGGAACGTTTTAAAAAATGCAGTATTCCAGTGTGCAATATCGTGACTGTTCGAATCGGACGAATCGTGCTATTTTCGCTATGGTCCTCATAGCTGTTCTTGACGGTTGAAAAAAAAGGATGCTAATATTAGTCAGGCGGGGTCCCAACTTGTGTTAATATTAAATGCGTATTTCTTCCTTTCTTTTCAGAAGTGATTTTAATGCGGATAGTGACTTGTTGTGCTTTCACTGTAAAAAGTACATTGAGTTTTAGTTAAATGTATGTTTTGAAGTGCCTTTACTTACCATGGATTCTTATCCAGTTGTTTTGTGATAATAGCTTGGGTTTTATGTTGAGATATAGTTTATACACATTCCTAGTGACCTGTTTATATTTTTCATTCTGCTAGTCTTAATGTTGCCAATGGTGTCTGTAGGGTTTCTGAACTGCTTGACATTGAAAACTTTGAAAACTTTCACTATTTTGACTGCTTCGTGATAAGTGACTTGTATTTAATATAAACTCCACTGATGCGTGATAATTGTAGAACATTCTGACGGTCTACACATTGTGTTCTTAGCGAAATTGTTGCCTTATTGATGTTTGTTTACACAATAAACTAGAACCCATCTGTGTATTCCTATTGGTAACAATGTGTCGCAATCATTCAAACATACCTCTCAATGTTAAGGCTTCACTTTAACCATGTACCCCTTAACCATCCCAACGTAAAAATCCAAAATGGAAGGGTATTGCTGGTTGGGCGTCAATGTTCGGTTTCCGTTCTCAGTCGTAGTAGCGTTTGAATGGGTACGTAGCCAACACAATGAATTGCTGGGTCCAGTCAATATAGAAGTTAGTGTTTTGTTTTCTCCGACGGTCCCTAACCATTCACCCTACCCGGAGAGAGTGGGATGTCCAGTTGGCCTGGACGCGTATCGATCCGAGTTTTTGATCCCGGACCACGCATGTGGTATTGACGGCATATGGCACACCCAACCTCTCATCTTATGCGAAGCAACAACAATGGGTGTCGAGTATGGTCTGCAAGAGTGATCTGAACTGTGCGGTGCACAGCACCTCCTGCGATTTATACCGAAGAAATGTCCTACTCAGCGAGTAACGTCAAAAAATGGGGCCGATGTCGTAGGCATTCTACCCTGATTGCCGTATAAGTAAGTTGTGGTTGGCTAAGCTTAATAAGCAATCTATGCCGACAAAGACTCCGCTTGTCCCTAGCAGGGGATTGAGCGTTGAATTTGGTCATGAAGTCACCCTTCATCTTTCTTCACAATAATCTTTTCCCCTACCTTTTCATAAATACACTCAACAAAAGTGAGAGTTTTCAGGAGTAGTTGCATTTAATATAGTTTGTCTTAGGTATTTATGCCAAGAGATACAACTGGTCCAAGCCGAGTTGTTTGTCGTTATTTTGCCAATGGCTTTTGTACTCAGGGTGACAGATGTACTTTCTTGCATGATCGGAATAGTCCGGCAGATCTCGTTTGTAGATATTATCAACGTGGAAGGTATGATTTCTTTCCAATCTAATAAGGTATTTGGCTTCATCCTAGAATTGGACGTTTACATTCTAAAGGGGCTTTAAATGATGATTTGCTACTCGGTCGCTTTACTGCCATGCGATACGAAGACATAAGCTCATTCGTTTCAGAAGTGAGGCGTCTTGATTGTGTATGCGTAAACATCAGTCTTCTAAGTTATGCAGTTTAACCGCTTAACTTTGTTTACACCACCCATTTCTTCGTAGCAGCATGCGCATAATTTTACTTCGGTTTGGAGCTCCCATGATACACTCGATTTTTCATTTTGAATCAGTATTATGATTTCTGAATTTATTTCTGCGCTTTGTTTGTTTATAATAGTTTTTTACCGAATGATTTTAGTTGTCAATATGGCTCAGCCTGTAGATATGACCACATTCGTCCTAAACAAAGCGATGGTGCTAACCTAACAAATGGCACAGTTCCTTCCTCAAAACCCTCTACTCTTTTGCCTAAACCAGTGAAATTGCCAAAACCAGGTCTTAACACAGATGCCGCAGAGTTTATTCCATCTTGGAAGCGTTCTTCGCCTGGTGAGGTTTTCAACTACGCTGGGATATTTCCGAAAACAATGAAAAACTTCATGATTGCTTAAGGAACATCGTATGCAGTAGCAGCAGGTGCCATAGAAAATGAAGGGGCCAGCCTCCCACTCTGTCCATATTTCGAAATGGGAGAGTGCAACAACGATCCGTGCCAATTTGTGCACGGCCTTGTATGCGATATGTGTTCAAGGGCGTGCATCCATCCCTATGATGAAAAACAACAAAAACAACACTTTGCAGTAAGTTCACTTCGCCCGCATGGCCTATTAGGCTCAAAATAAGAGTCCCGTCTATTATAATTTCGTAGGAATGCTTACAAAAGCACGAGATGGCTATGGAACAAGCATTTGCCGAAGCGAAGAGTATAGACAAGTGCTGTGGAATTTGTATGGAGAACATTATGGAGAAGGTATGTGGAGAAAGAGGCGTCTTTTCACTTTTATTAGTTTAGGAATGATCTGCAGAGACAGTGTAGGCGCATTTAGCGGGCTTAGTTTATACTTAGATAACTTTACAAATATTCTTTTTGTTTAATCCCAAACTATTATATTTGTACTGCTTTATAAGCCCTAACCTGTTATACTTGAACAGCTTCCTAAAATAGAAGCTCAATTCGGTCCGCTCAAGTGGCTTTTCCAGGCACTTCGCTTCGGTATACTTGAAGGATGCCGTCATTGTTTTTGTTTGGACTGCATTCGAGAGTGGAGACGTAATCAAACCTTCGAGACTGATGTTGTGCGGTAAGGCAGTCATGTATTATGTATTTTCTAAATTCATTTATCACTCCTGTTTTTTTTTTCCAGATCATGTCCCGAATGTCGGCAACATAGTAATTTCGTTATTCCATCTACTTTGTGGGTCGAAGATGAAGATGAAAAGCGTATATTGTGCGAAGTGTATCGAAATAACATGGCCCAGAAGCAGTGCAAATATTACAAAGTTAGCAATCTTCTAGTTTTAATATCTTATTGGCTTTAGTGTTTTCTCTCGCCTCAAGATATATATAGTCAGCGAATCGTTGTTTTACAATATATTACATCAGGGAACTAAAAGCTCACTTTGAGCACGAAGGGTGATTGTAAAAGTTTACAACTCTGTATAGTCTAGTCTTTCTTTGCCATCAACGTCATGAGTAAATGTTCCTTGGAATTTTTGGGAACAACTTATTTTTTATTACAGGAAGGAGTGTCTGCAGAAGGTTGTCCTTTCGGAAATAAATGCTTCTATAAACACCAGCTCCCTGATGGTTCCATAGACCCAGGTGAAGAACCTCACGCACGAAAGAAACCTTTTCTCGCTGATTTCATTTTCAACAGGTGAGGTGTTTTTATAAATAGTAACCTGTTTACTATATGTATACATCACCGAAGTCGCGCTTCCTTGAATTTGTCGAACTCAAACCTCATTCGGCGGCCCTAGTTTTTTCGCGGTTGTTCACACTAGACGTCTAATCGCATTAATTGTATAGTTTTGCATTGTGGAGTATGTAGAGGTACAGCGAAGCTAATTTCTTAGGGCGTCTTGTTACCCCGTCGTGTATGTGATGACATTATTCTCACCCCCTATCACAACTTGATAACCTTGCTGATTGTGCGGTTGAATTTCAAAAAAATTCGGAATTAAGAATTACATAGTTTTCTCCTACAAGTTTTCTTCTTCCAAAAAAATAGTGTCGAGATAAGCGAAGAAAGCATTTAGCATTTTTAGTTCGAGGACGGATGAAGATGATGCACTGGATGAGGTTACTGCAGCTGCACTGGATAACGAGTTCTATTTGAGAGATTTCTTCATGAGGTTACACCTTGAGCGTTCTTAGACATCAATTCCGCCTTCGCATTATATGTTGTCAAGTGCTGTTAGGTACATGTGCCAGTGATTTGAGGGGTTTAGAGGAATTGTCTAGCAGAGTTTCTGAACAACAAAGCTTCCAAGCTGTTTGAAATTTTGCGTGCACCGGAGGTAATAATAAATCATTGCATTATTCACGTTTTATGATTTGATTGGTTATGTATGATCATCCTTTATTTTACTAAGAATGCTACTAGTGGTGTGCACATATTGAGGTTTTATGTTTGATAAGCTCAATTGCCGTGATTGCTGTCCTATTCATCGCATGCTCATCACATATTCGTCACACAGAATCAATGCCTTTTATTTTAATATTGGAACACACATTGTGTTTCGGTGGCCTAGATATGAGCAGTTGCATGAATCACTTGAATTTTTTGTGATACAGGCACCCGTCTGTTGATTAGTCCTCTTAATGTTCTCTTGGAAGATGTATAGAACCTTATAGAGGAAGTATCGGGTTTTGTAGTGAATCCAGGTTACTTCTATCATGGAGTGCCTTCTTGTTAGTTTGAGTACACTCTCAGTAGGGGATATTTTTGTGTTTTTTAAATGTTGCTGTTGTATTTGTGAGCCCATTACCAGATTTCTAGACCTAGGTGACCCGAACATGCTCGCGAAGCCGCAAACGTGACAGCACAGATTTCTTCATTACATAATTCGGGCTTACCTTTTTTTGAAGAGTAGTCTCAAGGATATTCGATTCGTTTCGCTCGCCACGGGAAAGCTTGATATCAGTTCATACTCAAACTGAATCGCAACGGTTCACCTCGCCTGAAAAATTCAATAGCGTCTGCGAAAAGCCATCAGTAAGCTGACCAGCAGCAACTAAGTTCCAGTTGATCTGACACTGCTTTTGACTTTCAGTCTTTACCAAAGGCGTGAGGCTGAAACATCCTACTTACCAGCATTTGGCTTAGGAATGGCATTGGATGCCGGATGCGCCATGTGTTGCTGTGCTCTGACGTTTTTATTGTGCTGTTTGTACTAATTACCGTTCCTGTTGAGAATTACTGCATCAGCGGAATGTGAAGAACGTTTTCTTTTGATTCTGACGCTTCATATGAATAGGTGCTTCATGCTTACTAATTAGTAATTGTAATAGCTTGACAGATGCATAATCAGTTCTTTCCTAGATTTCCAGCGGCAATGTATGAGCGAGTACTTGATGAGGTGGAGGTTGCGAGGGATCTCGTTGACGCTATTCGGGCCACTACCGACGCACCATTACATGCGTGTATCGATGCTGCCAAGACCTGCATGACTGTTATGGCTCCATTCCTTCAGTAAGTTCGCAAACATATTCGGGAATTGTGGTAGCCAAAACATGCAAGCTCATTGCGATCATTGTCATTTACCATTCCCACTCGCGATTTTACTTATGGAGCTTTAGGTAGAGAAATCTTTCAGTCGAAGATAAGCGTTTCCGCTACATCGAGTTTTATAAATAACAGACATTTGGCAAGGAATTAGAGGGACGAACATCAACTCAAAAAGCAGTCCCATTACACTATGACGAGAAGCGGGTGGGTTGGTTAAGAGTGGAGCAACTTGGTCCAAACAAGGTCACCCGTCGTTTCTACCTCTCCTAATAGAAGACCGACAAGCAAAAGGACTTAGGTGATAAAGATTTGTTACAATAGGATAATGCCATATGGGTGGATGTGGTGTAGTAGCAAGAGGCGCACCTCACAGTTGCATGGTCACGGGTTCGATTCCCGGATCTATATCCGCGTAGGCCAACAAAGCCCATGGAAGTCGAATGGGTGGGCGCATCCCTAGGATGGAACTGATCAACGCCTCAAGATGTTATCCTTTGTCCTTTAGGATATGACGATACAAGCAAGGGTTGTTTTGTTGTTGTGTTTCACATCGACATATTTCTTGTTTGAGATGAAACGACGGCTTTACACTGGATAGTTTGGAACTTTCTTTAGCCATTGTTGATGGGCCCGCTTGCCTTCATCTGTTCGAACGGAAAGGGCTCCGCACAGGTGCAGAAAATATGCATGCGTCATTGTTTCAGGGACGAATCGTTCTCACGAATACAAAAAGCCGTCCGTGAATATGTCGTTTGTGTTAGTGATTGTTACGACTATCGCCTTCTCTCGCACATAAAGCAACAGTTAGAAGGAATATTCAACGAAAAAGATGAGGTATGACTCTACTTCAAACGTAATGGCTTCTTTGCATTCAATTGAATACGGCGATCTCCCTCGAATTAAGCTCAGCTTCTCCAGTGAGCAAGATGACAACATACTCATCAAGTACCTTCGTGCGTTCTCCGATTGCGCGGTATGGTTCTCGTTGTGGTTAACTCTTGAACCAGATCATTCACTTCTTTTGGACCTTTTCAGACGAAGACTGATTCAGCAGTAGTTTTGAAAATAATCACAGCGGACGATTTTGAATGGCTGAACCATCTCATCAATGTGTATCACATGGTTAGTGGAACACGTCTTAAGTACTGCTACTATCTTATTGTAGTTGGGGTAAACAAAGATACAAATAACAAATAAGACTATAATATATTTTACTGTTGCTTCATTTAGGATCAGAACGAAAGTGTTCGCTATGAAGGATTGTGTTGTATCGCCGCACTCGTCGACTCTTGTCGCAGTCTTATTCCTTTTCTTCTCAACTCACGACTTCCAGAAGTATTGGCTTCGGAATTTCAAACAATTGATAGTAACCTGACTGACTTGCACCTTATCGCCATAAAATTGCTCACGAAGATTTATTCAACTGATAGACCCCCTCCACTTAATCATTTCGGTAAGTTTTGGGATGCATTGAAGTTGGGACAAAGAGGTGAAGGCTTTTAAATAAGAGTCGTTGTCATATTTTGTTAGAGAGTAATAGATAGTGAAAAATGGATAGTGAAGAGCAAACTTGGAAAAAGGGGTCTAATGGTTTTCGATGTAAGAAACGCGAAAGATCTTTTCCTGTTATGAGGGTAGATATGGGGATGCTTTGCACCCGTGCTCTTCGTCGAGTAAGGAGAGCACGGATAAGCAGACCTTCCTCGTTTGCTCCATCTATTTGAAGATCCATTCTGTGCAGAGTTGTCACAGGGTGATAGCCGCAGGAGCTAGCAGTGGCAATCTCAGCTCATCATTATTTTGTAGCTACAAAGCTTTTTAAAGTAGTCTGAGTACAACCTACGATCTCCAAATTCAAAAAGTTCACGTAGTTACTATAACGAATAGCTCACCCAAAAAATAAGTTTTTTTTTGTTTTGATTTCCTTTTCACAGAGTTCTTCGATTGCAACTTCTTCATGAAAATAGTTGGTCAGTTAAAAGTGCATCCGTCGGAGATATTGGATCTCATGGTGAACTTTAGCTTCCTTATCCCGGAAGCCTATAGTAATGCTGTTATTCTCGCACTTGAATCGAATCCTTGTCCACTTCTTGGACAGCTCCTGGTAAAAGCTGTAAATGAGGAAACAAGTGGTAGGCTCATGGTTGCTTTTTTTGGAATGGAAACTTCAGTGATTACACTGAGTTCCAGATCGCCGGCTCAAGTTTTTCATAGACATTGCTGGACACGGTACATTGTATAAAGAATTATTTTATGAAAACGATCTCGATGTTTTATCACATGTTGTTGCAAGAGAACTAGGAAATTCTGATGATGTACAGGTTGGTACGACATTAAAATCAGACGAATCTTTTTATCCGAACTCATACGATTAAATCATTAAGATTCGTTCCCGTTGCATGGAATGTATTGCCCGATTAGCAGAAACGGGTCATTGCGATCGTATGGTACGAGAAGCCGTCGAAAATTCCGATTTCGACGAAGAATTGCGTTCGCAAACTTTAGCTGCCATTACTGAGTATCAGCTATGATCTTGTTGTTAGCTTTAGTTGTAGTTCATTAGTATTGCGATTAGGTTGATTAGATCGAATCCCGGTTTAGGTAAGGTAAGGTTGTGAGAAATGCTTGTCCAATGTTTATACAGGTTTGAATGCATTGCATTTATAATATGTACAATTCATGCTACCCATTTTCATAAAAAGCTTTTAATATATTATTTCTAGTCATGCTACAATCGTCTCCACCTGCTCGGTGGCCAAATTATATGTGTCGCTCGATTCTTCACCAGACCACGGCTTACCTAAAATGTTCAGAACAGTCACATTCACCAGTAATGAGTATTAAGCTGGAAAGGTCATGTAGTAGTGATGGTCGAAAGAAGGCTTCCTCAACTGTGGGATTCTTCCGTTCGACCCTATCATCACACCAAGCGGATTGTTTAGGTTTTGCAATGAAATTTCCAGGTCCAAGGAAAATAATTCCGAACAGATTAAAATACTCACTGGTCCGTATATATTGCTATCGTTGGCGTTAACCGGATTATCACTTTCCATCCAACAGCAGCCNAGGAACGTACATGACCAGATCGCCTTCTAGCCCTGTTACTCGCTTGATGTGCATCATGTCGGGTTCTCTTGGAGATCTGAATCACTAATTGCTTTCGAATTCTAGGAGAAGCCATAGAAAAGACTCACATGAAGGTGAGTACGTCGCCAATATTTGGTGATCGAATGCCCCATGGGCTGAGCCAAACCAGATCTCTGTGCCACCATCGCGAATCGGAACCCTCGAGTGTTGGCGACATTGACGCTCCTGTGACAACGGCTGGATGCCCCACGATGTCAAAGGCGGTCATTGCAACACAGACGCTCGAAGTGACGCGCACAGTGAAACGCAGCATTGTCGAAAGGATGTTTGACTCTTCAAGTTAAAATGACACAGTTCTTTCCCGGGAGGATAATGAAGAAGGACTAATTCCTGCAAAATGTGCAATGCATTGGACTAGCAAAAGGAAATCTGCAAGCACATATCATCCGAATATAGCTAGCGGTTGTAAAGAACGATTGGCTGCATTCATACTTTGCCTGAGTATATTTTTGGCGTTCAGTCCACGAAGGTTCGCTACGTATATCCAGTGTGCGACGAAGGGGGCGTGGTTAGCGGCTATCGAACGTCAGCAAAGTTGCCCGCCCAGTATGAATGCAAGCCTTAGCGCTGGGTAAGCAGGGTGCGGATAGCGATGACGATCAGGGAGGCTTCAACGCTATACTGGTGGCAAGGCGCAAGCGAGAGCAGCTAGTCGGCCTGCCGAGATCAGAATGTCATCATTATAGCTGTTCTAAAGTCTACATGTTGACTTTGTGATTAACAGGGGGTTTCAAAACGAAAAAAAAATCGAAAAAGGCCAATGAATTCGAGTCGAAGAAAAAAAGGACGCGGATCAAGCAAATAAATATACTAAAATATGTCATAAAATATAAATAAACATAAGGTTTCAAGAGGAAACCGAGCAGTAATGAAGCTTCCTTTCCAAAACTTCCAGCAACGTCGAAAGTCATGGGCAAATTCAATTCAAAGAAAGGACTACGCACTTATTCAATAAATTATAGCATCTTGAAATTCTCATGAAAATTCGTCGTTACCTAGTAACCCATTTCCCTTTGCATTAATTCATTAAAAGAGCAATTTTCGAAGTCACGGCTAACATCACGCTTTATCTTTCATTTGAAAAGAGCTGTTCAATTCAGTCTGTATCGATCCGATTTCGAATAAACACAGAAAATGTTCAAGTAAAGTAAGTAAACAGGTACTGAAAGAGGACAAAAATGCAAGAGAAAAACTCTACATCAAAAGAAATCTAATAAAACCTATTCCAGTAAAAGTAACACATGGAAGTCCCTAAACGATCGCAACAAAACCATTTACTGCATTAGTAAAGGTCATTATCTTAATTTATTATCTTCAGTTAGTTTTCGCGCTCTACTGAGATGTGGTCCAGCGCTGCGGTTGCAACACGTTCCTTCGTGTGCGATGACGCGCGATATTTTTTCATCGAACTTTGCCAAAAAACTTCCACGTCTTTTTCTTTTTGTTGTTTTCGGAACTTCGTAGGTTGTATTGTTTTGTAGCTTACTGGTGGTTTCTATTGTTCCTTATATGCTTTGGCTTCAAACTGGATGATCTGACTCTGAAGGGTGTGTTGTTTTATTGTTCATATGTCTCGGTTTTTAATTGAAATGTTGATACTGCCAAAAATCAGTGTAAAGCTATGCTTCCATCAGCAGCTTTGAAGAGATGTATGTCTCACGTGAACAATTGCCTTGGTTCGTCCGTTACAAGAGAAATGATCCCTGCTCACTTGGGAAAAGCTCTCTGTGAGGTTCGAGTTAGAAAAACAGTATTTGTGTCCTTTAGAATTTCTTTCCATTAGATTCCGAGGAATGTCTGCGAAAGGACGATGTATGCTTGGTGTTTGGTAGCCAATTTACTCGTTTCGAAAATTGGATGAATGGGATGGAAAACCTCAATCCTTGTTGGGGGACAAAAATGGCTTTGTTGCGTATGTAAAGACTCGGGGCACTTTATTTAGGCGTTCGGATTGTGAATAGCCTTTTCTATTCCTACGACAGCCACCGATTTACCATTTGTCCTCAAGTCACTGTCTCTAATAGTTGCGCTCAATTGGGAAATCCAATCATCAAAGTTCATGTCTAAAAGTATTAAGATTAGGATTAACTACTCACAAAAAACAGCTCTCAACTCTCAGTTTGCTAGCATGTGAACTTAAGCTCCGTTTTTAACTTTGCCATCTTGCCAGTCACTGCTTTGCGAGTTTCTGAAACAGGAGGTAGGATGTGACCCACCCATTCAAGGATGTGAAGCAATTTCTAAAGAGATTTGAAAGAACAGAGTAACAAAGCAAGAGGAAAAGGGTTTCAAAGGCCTGTAGCGGTAGGAACGTAATGTTCATCACTTTTCTGCATATCTGTTTAACAGGTTTAGGTAGTGCTCTGTAATCCCTTTTTTCACAATTTTTTTGTAGGGTCATCTGTTTGGGAGGTTGCCCATCTATCTGCGAGCACTAGTTGCCAGGGAAACTGCTAGGATGTCTAATGTGCGCAGGAACATTCCTCAATCGGATTCCCCTTNTGGAGCAGTGAAGTTGAGAGATAGGAAAATGCAGCAACCGACATTGTAGATCTTTTTACATAGCTACTTTCCTCGTTGTATGTATATAAATGTTCAGCCTCGCAAAGAAAAAGGACGAGTGTTCGAATGTGATTCAAAAACTCACTCCATTTTGTGCTTCCGTACTGGCTTTCTTCGTAGGAATTTCGCTTGGCATCATGGTGTTCTTGTTTCTCCGCTTTCTTAGTCTCAGTGGTAATGCGTCGGACCTCCTTTTTCCTCGACTTTGCCGACCTACTATTTCTTACTCTATATGCTTCGCGATTAAAACTTACGACCTCAATTAGTTTTCAGCGCCATCATGACCTCCATGGATATGTCTCTGGATGAGATAATTGCTAAAAATAGGAGAGAGAAAAGATCAGGTATGCTCTTATTTCGATCCAGATATATTCGTAATATAGGATTTATACGTATTGACGTTTTCAAAGTCGCATTAGTAACTTATTCGTCTTAGTGGTTTTATGTAAAAATGTTAGTTTTATAGGTTTTCGCAAAGGGTTTGGAAGAAGTGGTCGGTCGGGAGGAGGTTCAGGTGGACGTTTTTCTGGAAGCAGACCCTACAAAACGTATATTGACTTTGATGCTCCCCCTGTTCCTGTGCGAGGTCCCAAAATAGGAGGTAAGATACATTGAAATTCTGATCTCACCGTTTTTTGGATGTACCTGTTTAGGACCAAGCAATCCCAACAAAACTGTCCGCATCAACATTTCGAACCTAGCACCTTCTGTAGTTTCTTCTGATTTGGAGGAGTTATTTGTAAACTATCGGATCGAAGCTGCAACCGTAAACTACAACGAGTCAGGTATCGTTTGCATTGACTTGAGCTCTCATTTTGCTATCTCTTAATCACCTTTCTTCAACATTGTATTGGTGCTGTATTTTTTTTGCAAATTAACCACTGAAACACCGCTGCTGCTTTTTCGTTGTCATTCATGTTCGGCAAGTGGTTTTTTGAATGACGAAAAAAAACACGCTTAGTGCAGAATTTCTCATAACGTATCTGGTTATGAAAGCTGGGCTGGTTGCTATCTCAGCCTTGTTCATGGTCTTCAGAAAACTTTTTAAAAAATCAAGGCATTATTTCTCTTCCATATTCAGCTTTTTAAGGAGTATCTGTTGGTACGGGCGATATCTATCTACGTAGAAGTGATGCTGAAAATGTGATCAACGATTTCAAAGGTGTTGCACTTGATGGACAGGTGAGCGACCTGAATCTTGAGTTAGACCACAAACGCAACTACGCTGGTTCCCTTCATTTTGTTATCTTGTTACTTCGTTGCGTTATCAATTCGATTCTCAACTCGATGCTTTTTGAAAAGGGCGTCGACAACTTTGTTTTGAACAACGAATTTCCGAAGATACTTGGATGATTATAATTCTTCTAGGTGATGAGGATGGTACTAGTTGACGGCAGTGAAGCACTCAGTTCGCGTGTGCAATTGGCACCTGTGAATGGCGGTGGCGTTATAAAGAGCTTTAGGAATGGCGGTGAGATTTTTAGCTAGCCCTTTCTTTCCTTTTCCAGTTTCTTTTCTCATTGTCATACTGGCACACTCCAAAATTGAGATTTCCACTTTGATAGTATTCTTTAATCACACCGATGTTTTTGCGAAGGGGCGCAGTTATATTTTTGTTCTTTCTCAAATTTGTGGGATTTCAACGATTCGAAATGAGGTCGTCTCATACTAAATTCGGCCTGTAGATTAGTTTTGGCCTTTAGACTTGCCTGAAGTAGTTGATGTTCAATTCATTTTTATCCTCCTTGACAAATTTGATGGTACTCTAATGCTAGCTAGCCTGGTAACGCCGTGGCTACTGCGTTGGGTGCTTGGAACCCGAGTAGTACCAAGTGTTGCTTGCAAGGAAACTATGAGAAGATTTTCTGTGTTTAGGTGAACGCCGAGATGGTAGAGGAAGCAGGGGTGGAGGATTCGGTCGCAGATCAAGATCGGGACGGAGGTATCCATTAAGTTTTTGTTGTGAAGTGGCGCGGTTGTATTCATGAGCTGATATTTACATTTATTTCCTATAGTTGGTAACTTCCTAATTTCCCTGGTTTTCTATGCTAACATTATTTCTCACTTGATCGTCGTTACAATTTCACTTGATATAAACTTCGGGCCTCAAGGCTTATCTCTGGGCAGGAAGCATGAATTTGCTACATCTGAAAAAGTTTGATTTCTGCTTAGTTGCTTTCGAAGATAATTATTCAATTACTATGTATAACAGCATTTTGTCGGTCCTAAGTAGCTCGGTAACTTAAATAGAAAGGAAATGTACTCAACAAGCAAATGAGCCAAAAATTTCAACAGAACATGTTTTGTATCTCACAAATGTACCGGAGTGGCTCTATTCATAATCGTGAAACAGATAGATTTTCTAATCACCTCACTTTAGTGGTTCGAAGATCAAACGAGAAGATTCTAGGGCAAGAATGACGGAGGCTGAGTTGGATGCTGAACTGGAAGCATATATGTCAAAACCACGAGCACAGTAGCTCCGTTACATAAGCTTCTCTTCCCTGACATGAACTCGAATATGAGCGGGACTGTCGCCCATCTTTGAATCTATACTTATGTTGTTTTGAGTTCGTAAACTTGTATGATCCGATCTACGCCTGATACACAATGTTCGAGTAACGTGGAGTGGCTGCTTAAAGCTGTTTACAGGCGGATTCGTTTGCGTATTGTTGTACCTAGTAATATTGTTGCATTTGTTTGAAAAATAAATTATTTTTGTGTCGAGTTGTTTGGTAGTGAGAAATAGCGCTTGCAATGCCAGGACAACCATGCTTACAACTTTTTTACTTTTTATCATTACGTTTATTGTCATTTTGTTATGAAAACTTGTCGGTTTCGTTGTAGGTAGTGATTAGTCGTCTAATGGTTTATTTGTAATGCAATAGCGTCTGGGATCTGCCAGAATCGTATTGTAAGAAATGAAGAGTCCATCTCAAAAGAAGTCCGAGTCGGGTGGATTGTGGAGCTATATAGGTATGTGAAGTTTTTTTTTTATAAAGATCGAAACACAGCTTTATGCCAATCGATATATAGGTTTATGGAAATCAGGAGAGGGTGACACACAGCCTGGAGTGGAAGTTATCGAAGCACCAGATTGGAATGCTAATCTTGAGTTTAAAGGGGAAGCTGCATTACCCAGAAATCGGCTCCTCCACTGGGGTCCAATTGTCGCCCTTGGCATAACGTTTTATGTAAGTTCTGTGTGTGCTCAATGTATTTTTTTACAAGTTGACTATCCTTTAGTTAAATTTTTATGTCTATTTTTCAGATAGGAGTTGTGACTACATATTTTGCGGTATTATGGTGGCCATTAGATTTTCTGGGAGGATTTCTTAATACGGCTGTTTTCTTTATCTGGAATTACTCTACAATAGTAAACTTGACAAGAGCTTCGTTCGTTGGACCCGGTCACGTTCCGTTGAAGTGGCATCCGCATGAGGATGAGGTAGATTTTTTTCGAAATTTATATAGAGAAGGTTGCGTTTGGTTCAAATTTCTCTTTTGATTCTGTGCTAGTTAATTATGGAGCTCCATGTAGGCTCGTTCTCTTGCATGAACTTTCCGCTGCCTTTACGTTACTCGTCTGATTGGCTTTGACGTCGTTCGCTACGGCCCATTTATCTACTCAGTAATTAGGCTGCTACACAGCTTGCTTTACCCAGTAAGAATGGAGATTTAGATTGTAAGCAGAACAATGTAACTGAAAGTAATCCTGACTGGTGTTGTGTCATGGAGCGAGTTGCGTGGTTCTCACGCTGTAATTAATTCGTGGCTTTTTACGACCGTCACTCTAAATAATTGCTGGGACCTTGGTAAGACCTTGGTGATAAAACTAAATGCCTTGAGATTATGGTCTTGCGGCATGAGCGTTTCTTAATGTTTTCACCTAAAGTAGGTTGTTTCTCGACACAGTCGCTAAGTATGAAGCATTTTTCTTAAGAAGATCTCTCCAAATGAACCTATCGACACATTATTACAATGGTGCGAACCATGTTCTGGCTATAAAGTGCCTCGTTCTCATCATTGTTCACATTGCGGCCGTTGCTCAATGAAAATGGATCATCACTGCCGTAAGAATTTTTTTTTAATTTGAAGAAATTCATTACATCAGTGATCTGTACCCTTTCACCCATCCTCTCAATTTCACTATTGCTTGTTCTTGCTTGTTTTAGTTTTCACTGTAAACATTGTCATAAGGGTAAAGTCATAAAGGTCGTATACGGTAGGGCCTTTTGCCATTCCTAACTTTCGAAGTGTACGTGGCATCATCTTTGGAAAGCACAGCCTTGACCACTCATAGCTTATGTAGTTTCCAGCTAGCTCTTTTCGTGAGAGTATCTTCCAAAATTCTAAAATTTTTTCGAATTCAGCATGGATTAACAATTGCGTTGGTCACCGGAACCATGCCTTCTTCGTTAGATTTCTGGTTTCCGCTGTGATTGGATGTCTTCATGCGTTGGTGATCTTGATTGCTGCATTCTACCATGCCATCCATTTCGTGAGTTTTTGCCTCTCATTTCTCTTTTCTACCTATAATTGCAAGTGTTAGATTGTATAGGTGCTTCTTCCCATGAGCTTCGTTTCTTAGTAATAAATTTTTAGTTCCAATTGGTAACTCTTTTAGAATTACTATTATCGATACGGTGATGGCAGTGAACCGCTGATACCACTAACATTCTGGTCATTGATCGGAATGGTAATCGCCAGTGCCTTTGCGTTCGGTGTAGTGGTTGGAGTCGGTGGCCTTCTTTACCTTCAGCTCAAGTACATTAAAAACAACAAGACCGGCATAGAAGAATATATAGGTAACGCTTGACTTGACCAGTGGTACCAGAATCCACCACCATATGTGTCTTTTAAACATTGTTGTTTTAGCGACTCTGGTAATTCGTGATTCGTCATAACGTTTCAGAACAAAAGGCCATTTCTTATCGCAAAGAAGAAGAATGTGACTGGGAGGACTTCACATACCCTTATGATCTTGGTTGGAAACGAAACTTTCGGGAGGTTCTCTTTTCGTGGTCTGGAGAGTAAGTGTCCCGTTGTGTAAGTATGTGTTCTGGAACCTGTTCACTAAAATCGAGATGTTACAGAACAACAGGAAACGGTGTTTGGTGGCCGGTACGAAAAGGATGTGATCAGTTCTCTCTATCGGTGAGTGTCCACTCCAAGGTTAAATAGGTTTTCTGGAGACTGGTTAGGTACTTCAGCGGATTGTCTAACTCTGTGCATTCGTAATCTTGTTCGTCAGTTTTTAACCTAGCGGCGATAGGCTTTTTGTCATTGAAACTTTCCCTCAATTAGTCTACTGTTCGTGGAGAAGGAAGTCTAACCGATTCTATTCACTGAATCTATCTGAACTCGTTGTGTGTTTCTTGTATGTGTCTGAATATCATTTGCAGTTATTTCGCGAATTAGTGTGGCGTATCTTTCAGCGTGAACAACTGCGACAAAAGGCTTTGAAGAGATATTTGTCGCGAATCGTCGCCGTACAAAAGGATTTCCGAGGGGGGATCTTTGGTTCGGTGTTCTTTGGTTGTCGATTGTTCATTTGCCAACCCATCAGTGAAGAACCTCGCCTCAAGGTAAATTTTTCAAAGCTTGCGCAGGCCAGAAGCAGATCAGGCGATGAAACTAGAGAGTTGGAAGGGACGAAAGGGTGCTTTTAAGCTTGCATTAGTTCATAATATGCTCGTTTATGTACGCAAACAAAGAGGTTTGGATGCAGACTTAGGCTCACAAGCAATGCCTATTTGCCGGTTAGCATCTATAGTAACGTCAATTAACTCTCGGCAAACATTACATTGTCAGGAACGTACTCACGTGTAGTGGGTAGATAGCCGCCAGCTAACATTGTCAATTTTTTCAAGACGTCAATGGCTCAACGAAGACCAGACGGTTATTACCATTCATTCACCGTGCAGAAAGATTGCGTTCACTGCTGTGCATCACTGCAAATCATTTCGGGGTTTATTTGTCCTTTATGCAATACCACCTTTGAAGGACAGCACGCAGGCCCCAATTAGGGTTAACCTCAATCTAGCACCGCTGAACGTTTCCTCGCTGGAAGGTGCAGCAAACAGTAAATTATTCTGGCTACGGCGGCTGCCCCTTTTGCCGCGATATAGGACCACGATGCTAAAAAAATTCGTTAGAAATTTACTTTGCCTTCAAAAGGGTTTACAAACCATACGATTATATTTGATTGGAATGTCTGCAACGTGTCCGTTCTTTTACATGAAGAGTAATTGAAATGCTATTGAAGATCTCTGTGAATGAAGAATACGTGGTCACGCGCGGTCAACGCGGATGGCTATACGGTTATAAGGTCGATAACGAAAAGGTGAAAGGATGGTTTCCACGAGTTTGTGTTCGATTTACTGACAAATACCCATTCCAAATGGAAACAGATCAGTCTAAGAATACGGCTGCTACCTCAAAGTCTTGACTTTGTTTCTCAAGATTACTGTGTAGTTCTGGTGATTTTAAAATTTTAATCTCAACAGCTGTGACAGGTTGGCTCCAGGAGTGAGTCGATATTAATGCTGAGACTGTGTTATTTGCATTTAGCAGATATATGCGTTGTTAAAATTACTTTTGTCCGCCATTTATGGCTCCTTTCAAAACAAATCATGTGTGATCATTTATTATGAATTGATTCTCTAAGACTCCTTAATAAGCTTAGTGCAAAGATGTTTTCAGTTGTGGATATTTTGTTTTAATGGTGTGTTATTCATGATTTCCATCGTTTTTCGTTTATGTGTTTGCCTTGCCTTTTGAAAACATTCGCGGTATCTCTTTTTCTTCTTTTCTTTCCGTTCTGTTAATGTAGTCACTGGTGCAAAACGAATTGTAATCGCACCTGACAAATCAGCGGGTGGCTGCCCGGAAGCTTGGAACCTTATGCACTCCGTCGTTATTGTGAATTGTGATCGGTTCATGACGGCATCGTTGAGCTTGCCAGCGTACTCCGCATTTAGGTATTACTGTTGTTATTTCTATGACCGAGAATCTCTCTCAGTTCTACGTAGGACCATCCTAGCTCAGAAACGACCGTTAGAAGGTTATATAGGGTTTGCCGCGCTATTCCAGAAGTTTAGGAGAGTAAGTTTATTATAAATACAGTTTTATTTTTCAGATGTAGCCTTTTGACCATTATGAAGAGTATGTAGATCTAGCTTATTTAATACATGATGTGAATAAATATTCATATTCTTTATGAGCTCGTGTTCTAATATAGGCGCCAGTTCGAGTGAAGGCAGAAGATACGATGGACCAGAGAAATCACCGTGAAATTGTGGCATTGGCGAAGAGAATTTGTGTGGAGTTCGGAATGCCATCAGTAGCAGGAATGGGCAGTTGAACCGGTGAGGGTCAATTAGAAGGCGCTTTCAGACTCCATGGACGTGCACTGTTCCATCGACACGTGGCTAGGCCCCGTGAACCGGTAGAAACAATGCTTGTTGGGGAGGCTGAATGTATCCAGTGATTTCACTACAATTCAGCTTTTCACTGGTTCACAACAACTGTTTTGACCCGAAATGATCAAAATGTGTCTGATTAGCTGTCTGTCGATGGGTGACCGCTAGTATTATTACTCACAAATGATCAAAATGTGTCTGATTAGCTGTCTGTCGATGGGTGACCGCTAGTATTATTACTCACAAATGATGAATAAGTAGCGAAGCATCTCCCAATGCTTCGGGTTCATACTGACGTTCGATGTCCGAGCTAAGTCAATGGCCGAACTCAGATCAAGGTCAGAGATTGGACTTTGAATTCGTGGCGAGCTCAATTTTGACTAGCTCCCTGAAACTTGGTCAGACAGCTCTTCGATGCGCCGTTCGAGCACAGGTATGGCAGTTGAATGTTCGACGATACTTCTCGATCAACTTTTAGATGTATCGCTCAGTCACCTTCATGCTCAACGTTCGTCAGACAGTTCTGTCCGATAAACCCCTTTTCCAGCTATGCCATCTGGTCATCTGGTAGCTGCAGTACTCACTTTACAATTCGAGTTGGATGAGAGTGAGAAAATGAGATGAGAGTGAGTGAAGAAAAATAGTCAAATGACAACCCTTCCCTCAACAAGTGTGTCCCACGGTGTCCACACATATGCTTTGCTTGCTTCTTCAGGCTGGGAAATTCTGAGTGAGGAATAAGTACATGAGAAACATCGGTGTCATCCGTTATTACAAAGCTTCAGGGAAAATCCAGAGTCATCATCATTAAGGGCAGAATTCCCATGCCACTAAGGATACGACTTGAGATAATCCGGTGCTGCACATACGGTATTAATAAATACGTGCAGTTGAAGCGATATGGAGCTTTTGCCAGACAAAGCTAGAAGCGAGTCAGGTTTGGAGTCGTCGACGCCTTTGTTGGCAGCGCCGCCTTCGAATGGACGTGTTAGCGTAGCAATAAAAGCTGACAGTGACAGATCGGATCTCAGGAAAACTAACAATAGAAAAAACTGAGCCGAAATCTCGAGGCCCACCTATTTAATTTGAAGGCAATTGCATGTTAACTTAGGGGAACCTTTTTTGTGTTGGAAAACGAAAATGTTTATGAAGAGTCGCCCATCGACGGGGAGGAAAGCAAGAAACCCGCGAAGGTTATGAGATCTAGGTTTTTGAAAGCACAAAAATAGAGGTATTACGAGATTCATAACGGAAATGGTATGAAATTGTGTCAAGGCGAGATTTTAGTTGTTGCAATTGCGTAAAAAGTTGGCTACAGAATGCCAATTTAGTCCAAATTAGCTTTCCACAATGGCCATAGGTCACGGGTAGTTATCTGAATTTCCAACATGTGTGCTCCATTGCGAAAACTGCACCCTTTCTAGCGCCACGAGAACTCGTCCTCCTTTGGGCGCGGACTTTGAGAGAGCAGGTCTTTGAGCCCTAATTGCGCCTTTTTGAGGAGCTTTTCACACCCAACAGCTCTTTATATGGCGTACTTTGAGGTTCATTTGATAGCTCCGGAAACCATTTTCACAATAAACTATCACTGAGTTATCCATACAACAATTCCGTATGTCCGTATGAAACAACAGTTGACCTGAGGCTAAGGGTAAGGTATACGGGTATGAACTATTGTGCCTCAAAAAGTCCCTCGTCAGAACACTTGAAAGTGGTTAAAAGTAGTCTGATTTCGTCATTTTGAAGCTAGTGCTTTTCGAGGAAAACTTCGACAACGAAACTCGAACAAGGCTGTATATTATTAGTCGGCTAATGGTGAGAAAAACATCGGAGAAACTGTCTCTTCTTGAATGAACCATAAGTACATGGGAAATGTTGATGCCACCAATTATCATGAGGAATTCATTGCTTCTTCAAACAATTTCTCACGATACAAAGATAGCGGACTCGAGAAAGAGCAATTCTCAGGATACAAAGATAGCGGGCATGATAAATTGTATAAACAATAAACATAATCATGTATGAAGGGTACTGTACATTTCAGGTGGTGGAGAAAGGCGTTTCAGAAGCGTCAATATGTCTTAAAATGTGATTGCTCGGCTCTTCGCTGACTGTTCCTCCTTCAAAAGGACGTGTCGACGTAACCACTGGATGTTGTAAAACAGGGCAGTGAGATATGATTGAATGGAAACTGTGACATTAGGAAATAAAAAATAGGTAATGTCATGTCTGAGAACAGGTGGCGACTTGCCCGAGCACTCAATGATGTGGATTTGGAGGGGTATGGGTACATTGGCTCGTTTTGAGGTGCACGGGGCGAAATTTGTGGCGAATTGAACGACTCTCGACCTTAGCTCCTATCGTTGAGATACAGGTTTCCGAACGAGCGAATCTTCCGTCCCCCATTTGGAGGGTCATTCCTGAGCACTCTGTGTCTCTAACGCCAAAGGGAAGGGCGCAAGAATGAATGGAGAGCGGGATTCCGAGGCAGAAAGCTTAAAAACGATTTTGAGTCAGGGAGATCAGGTTTATCGCCCCAATCCAACGAGTAGGGGAGCATAGGGATGGGTGAAATACTAGTCTGCAGAAGTCTGCAAAATGTTGTAGTTGAAGGGGAACTGATCGATTGGATGGTGACTCGTGGAGAGAGCGTAGACTTCGGGTTTTCGGCGATTTTTAAACCGTTTGTGAACTGAGTTGTATCTCTTTTATTCTTCACTTCTATCTGAATTTTCAGGCCCACTACCTTTGAACGCTAAGTAGGAAGAGTTTCTTATCGCTAACTAACTAGACTTACTGGAAGTAAACCTACACCATTACTCTAGGTGTTTATTTCAAGAACTTCTCTTTTTATGATTAGTTCACCCTGCTTTTTGGTCTACATTGTAACCTGCTCAACCATCTCTTCCGAACCCTGTTCCATTTGGATGCAAACAAAAGAGCAGCTGCTCAATGGTGCAAATTGAGAGCAGCATATTCTCACACCTAAAAACGACCATTCAACATCTTAATGTGCCTTCATTTGTGAACCATTGCGCCAACCATTTACCACTATGCACCTTACATGTGTAAGTATTCAGCTCGGAATAGAAAGAAGAGGCGACAGGATACCTGAAAACACTGTTGTTCTGCCCATTTGAGTGGTGGCATTCGTAATAGTTAGAATCACGAGTTGTTTGACAGCAACTCATGTCATAAAAGTAAAGGTTTTTTCAAGGGTAGGCGAGTGATTTATTCATTTAGCTCCAGGAGTCAGTTTAGCCGAGCAGATCGTTTTACACAATAACGATCAGCACCGTCTCTTTCGAGCACCGTCAACAACGAAGATCAGGGATGCCATTGAATACGCCAAGGAATCGAAAATCCGATGGGCCGAAGTCATGCGATATAGTGATGACCGTTGGACTAGGGCGGTTACTGACTAAATCCCTCGGGACTTCAAACGAACGTCAGGACGGTCCCTAGCGCGATGGTCAGACTCCTTCACGAAAGCTCTGAACGAAAGGAGTTTCTGCTCCCTGTCCCTCGAGCGAGTACGAATCACCGGACTACTCTGGCTCGCGGCAGGGACGAATGGAGATGTTACTGGCGCTCCCTCGAGAAAATCGATAATCAAAAGGACGACAGGTGATACAGTCGATCCGATCAGCACTGAGTATGGTTGAGGTGCACTGCCTTGTCAGAAGGAAGCAGACAGCAGCATAGAAGCCAGGTCTTACCCAGATAAAAGAGAACATGAGTTAAATTCATAGCATTCCATACCACCTCACCGTATTTCTGGAGTAGTTGTTCCAAGCCCAGGCCAGTGCTCAAAGTGAAATCCTTTGTTTTACTGGGTTATCCTCTAACGGGGCAGACTATTCCAGTAGAGATCCATCATAGTTACAACAATTTCATTTTGTTAGATACATGTAGTTTCGTTTCATCATCACAGAGATTTTGCAGGTACATTTTCCGATCAAAATCGTCTGACAGTGTGTCTAAGAAATTTTCATATCAATACACTGCATGAACAGAAAATCAGGCATAGCCAGCGATCGGCAGCTTCGATGGAGCGGAACTGACTGGAAGCAGGGTGACGAAGAAAGTAAGTGTTTGATTAAACTTCTGTTTGTTCATAACAGATTAAGCCATTGATATATCACAAGTAGTTTAATTCGTTAGAGTTAGTCACACCACTTCAAGCCGGGGATATCATCATTTATCGAGATTAGTCAGAAGCTTCATAGTGACGTCAACCCTTGAACGGTACGTGGCGGGTAAATAGTGAGCCGGACAGTGGATAACGGACAACACCCCTCGCACTGTTTCAGCTTAGCATGGAACTGCATGTTCGGTATAAGCTGTCCATTACGTGCTGATCCACATACCTTCTTTACCTGGAAAGCTATTTAAAAGGATGTTTGAAAGCTGAGGGAATGCAGTCAGATTTCGGCCCTTTTTTCAGAGTGAATCATACCTGAGAGAAGCTACCCTTCGAGTGGGATCTAAGTAGTTCCCCGAGATATATGCTTCCGAGCTTCTCTAGAACCACCTTGCGACTAATTTGACACTTTTTTCGGCAAAATTTGTATTATGGAGCTCCTGGCGGCGACGTGTGTAGATCTATAATATATTTAATTTCTGGTTTTTGCATTTGTCCAGGTTTCATAAGAAGGCTCATAAATATGTACTAAAGTTTCGCTTCCCTTGCGTTACCGTTGAACACATAGTTCTTTCGGACTTGACGATAGCATCAAACTGATTACGCTTCTGAAATACCTTTTTGAGAACCTGAATGTTTCCAGATAATTTGAACAGGCAAAGCAGTCTGGTGCGCCTCTGTCTTTGAAAAGTGTTGAAGTTCGTGATCAAACACAATAGAAAAGCTTTTTTCAAAGCGAATTGTGGAATGAACTCAGAAACTATAATTTACTGTCATTAACAACGATGCTCCGTTCTAAAGAAATGTGATATTCGGCAATGATACGTATAAATTCCTATGAATGTTAGACATTCAAGTACACACAATTACAGTGGTGAATAAGAGGGTCAATTGTAAGTTTCCTAGCTGCTCTCTCCTTGTCACCCACCTTTTCAGTAAATGCATCGACACCCAGCACATTCTTCCAAAGGAAAGAAACTCTGCTCACAGCTGCGATAGGCACAATCGCTTTCGCTTGCACAGAGCTACTAGATTTCCATGAGGTATTTCTTTCGGAAAGTCTGTACTTCTTCCGAGCGTTCACTATGATTATTTTCTGCTTTTCCTTCGACGCGCATACGACTATTTACATATTGGAGAGGAAGATTGAAGCGTTCCTTAACTTTGGAAGGTTCCAGCGATCTACTTTTACAAATTCGAGGAAAGCGAGAAGCTTGTCGTGTTTTAGGGATCTTCTTCACGTCTGTGCTGTTTGGAATAAACCTTAGTAGGTAGTCTGATGTCGGTTTCACAGTGAAAGATACTTGAGAAAAACTACCCTTTGGAAGGGATCTAAGTAGATTAGTTAGCGGTACTAAGAATATGCAGTGGTGCCACATCCGACTATGAAAAGCGAGTCCTTTTTCGAAGTGTTACCAGATAAGACAACCTGATTCCTTCGGGTTTTCTTCGAAGAGCGTCTGTAGAGTTTTGAGCTGCAAAAATTTCGGAGCCTTTTTTAGCTATCAGCTTTCAGCGTATTTGAACATCAACACCAACATTCCGACGAGATGTCAATGACTTCAGGGACCACAGCTTCCTGGGTAAGTTAAAATGGCATCGCCGGTTAAGGGCATACAAAGAAAAGATAAGATCTACAGGTGTACGTTCCAAATACTATGTATAGCGCAAATACTGGTTGAGCAGGTATTGTAAGTTCCTCTCAACTACGGTAGCTGTGTGCTAAATTTAACAATGTTGACTATCCTACGTCAAAGGTGGGTGAGTCACCCCTTAGGAACACGTCAGATTGAATCCACGATATGAGCTCAGTGGGAGGGTCAGACTATTGCAATTTCGGCTGGGCTGTCACCTGAGTCCGACGTCGACATCGGCCGTGGTGGCGGTGGCGCCGCTGGTCGACGTCTCCCCCCGTTGGGGGTCCTCCGTTGGGGGCGGTGCTTTTTGGATGCCACGCCTTCAGCCCCGTGTATCGCCGGCTTCCACCTTCGGCGGCTCGAAACTCTCACTAGATTCCCGCATATTCGCGATTAGAATCGCCTAATTTAATTTCCAGTACATTCTCGGGTTCCGTGCCTTACTATCGTATTTATTCTTATTCGTGTTTATTTGTATTTTATGTATTTTTGTATTATTTTAATAGAGAATGAACCATGTTGATGTGGATCAGTTACTCGAAGATTATGCCTGGGGGCATTTCAAGGATATTCAATCACTTCGAAGGACCCGTCTAGACGACTTCAAATCCCTCGAACGGGATGACTGCGAATTCATTATTGTGAGTATTAGAGGTCTCTTTGCATCCATCCATTGCTGTCGTGTGTATGTTTAAACAATCTCCCACTAATTCCTCCCGAATTCCATGAAAGCCCCGCATTTGGCCCCGACATTGATTTCGGGTGTTTGCCGGGCGTGTTCAACACTCTCATCGAACCATTGCAACCATCGAAAACACACTGATAACTGTCTCCTCTCGCTGTTCGGCGTGAAAAGCTGATTGCCGTGAAAGATAGCGCCTAAGAGTTGTTGCTAGGGCTACACATCCCAGTCAGTCCCTGGAAAAAAGTAGTAGGCCCTGGGTAACCCACAGAGACCTAACTGAAACGGGAAAAATAACTGGGAGCCCAATTGACCAATCAGGCCTCGTGAGGCCGCCTCTTTTCAGTGTTGTTTCCATATTGACCGAGTTTTTGGTAATGTTGCTGCTGGAGCGCCCTCAAAATGGCTCATGGACTGCTAAATTCCCATACTCACCGGAGGGCCCATTCGGAATTACCTTCAACTATGCGGGTGGTCGAGGTCATACACGGGATAACTAAATCTTACTCTTAATTTTACTGCCATGATTTTGAAATACACTACGGAAGAGTAAATGTCGCAACTGCTCATTAGTAAGCTAAAAGCTTGTGAAAAGCCGTGTCATCGGGTTTTTTTCTACCAGCAAAATGTCGGCGAACAGCTGTTTTCAATTTTTCCTCTCCGCTTCATAGCCACTTGAGTCATAGATAACAATTAGAACGATCCGACTGGCTCAACGAATCTGAGCAGTATCGATTAGTCAAATGGCGAAGTGTGAATTTGATTGTTCGGACAATAAAAGTCACTAATACTTTATTTCGGTCCCCTGGTTCTCCTTCTATAGCTCCCCGGCCTTCCTTGGTAGGATCAGGTAGCAACCTCGCATGAGCCCCGGCAAATGGCTCTCTGATTCTGGGCGACAACCTTTCCCTCAAACACTCTCCTGGGATTCAGGCAATACCTGGAAAGCTGCCAATTCGCGAATGACATGGAGATATTCGCGAACTGAAAATGTCAAGGGAAAGTAGCAAAGAGCCTGATGCTTGTACTACACTAGCTATGCTTGTACTCGACTGTCCGGGACAGCTTCATTCAGTGTTAGGGCCGTATGTTGGACTTTCCACGAAGAGCTGAGGGAGCGAGGTATTCTGAAGAATTCTACCTCCGTGGCTTTTACTAGTTTTGACCGTCTATCTACAACTGAGCTTCCCTCTCTTAGGGAACACCCGGATTTCAGCATTACCCAAAGTTACTTGTCTGGTACCCGAGTACTCTCAGTTTTTAGCTGGCGATTATCCGTTCTGTTCAGATGAAAGGTGCTCCACAGAAATTTATGCCCAGTCCGATAACTTTTACTATCTTATTCGGCTGAAGCGTTATCTAGTTCGACCTTGTTGCGATGCCAAAGTCACGGCTGTCTCTTAGGCCGCAATCTTTTCATCTAGTGCGGTAGCGGTCGTCATCTGAAGATCAGACAACCCGATAGCAACGTCGGACTGAGTTGAACGTAGCGATTGATCGGTCGCGTGCGATGTGACTTCCCGCTGAGTTCGACGCTCCTACCCTGAACAACAACCATAAGGTGGACTGTACGAGGGGAAATTCATCGACTGACTTCGGGACTGCTCCTCCAAAGGCATCCGGAAGCTGACGTCCGCCAGCTGTCCCCGTGGACACATTGTAACGAGCGCTTAAGAATGATTCATCACTATGAGCTATTGTGTTCGGTGGTTCTTCCGTTGTCGCTTTTCCCCCGAGTCCAATCAGTGGGTGCTCTTGATCGTCTGGGGTTTAGTTTGTGTTGCAAGCCACTTCGCGCTGTTTGGATAAGTCTCACTGATGACATGTTACGATGGTTGGACAGCCGAGCTGCAGCTCTCTGAGAACAAGCTGAGAGTAGTTACATCGGCAGCATCAGGTCGTCAGTCAGGCTTGTCGCCGGAGCAAAAGCCGCCGGCCATTGCTTGTCTGATGAATGCTCCCTAATTGCTGCACCGACGGTGACGTTCATAGGGAGAGTAACTCACTACTGCCGAGACAGCCGTGGCTGTGGCAGTAAGCAGTAAATCCTGAGCTATTAGCAGTAAAACGCCGTTTTCGCCGAGCAATCGCATTTCAGCTGCGTATATCGAATTACATTGGAGTCATATGAACCCTTGTCCATTTCTCGCGCTCCGTCTCTAGGAGAATGTCCGGCTTCCTCCTGAACCCTTTGTGGCTTCCTTTCGATTACGGGGAGATGTTTCGTAAGCACTGGAGCTGGCTGGCTGCCTAGATGAGCAGTGCCGTTAATGAGTAGAGGAAATCCCCACGGGAGATCCGATTAGCACATGAAGATAACACCTCCCTCGAGCGGCAGTTTGTCGACGCACGAGCTCAAGGACCCACTCATCGATTGCCAAAGTGCTACTAAATACCAATTGAACTAGCGAGAGTTGTTGGTTTTCATCAACATCGCCATCATCATTGAACAGAAAACTGCCGCCGACCCTTCCCCCAACATCCCCGGTAACCAGTTATATTTGTCGGGTACGAGCAGCCAGCCGGCAGCCGGCATACGGTAGCTATGCGATGAGTCATCAGGTTATTGAGGCAATACTTCTCTGAGAAACACCGTAGTCGAACGGAACGAGTTCGAGCGTGGGAGTGAGGAGGGGGTCTGTAGAGTCACGAAATGCTGGGAACGGTATTATGAGTCATTTGCCTCGGGAATTTCAAAAATAGGGGTGCTGAATAAAATAGACCCCCTGAAAGAGCACCTTAGATAAGGCGTTGCTGAGAGCCGAAAAGAGGGCTATACAAGACGTAGGACTAGGAAAGTCTACGAGGTCCTGCGGTGGTAAGCAGGGGGTTCTATATGATAACCGATAACGGTTCTATATGATAACGGGATATCTTTCTGGAAGAAATCCTTAGCCATCATTCGCATAGCTCTGAAAATGCAGTGAGCCTGACCAGCGAGATGTGGTTGTGACGAAGGTCTGTAACGACGGTATCGGTTAGAATTCGAAGATAGCTGGCTTTTCTAGTAGAAAAAAAGAATTTTTGAACAAAAAAGAGAATACAGGAATCTTCAGTCCCAAAAGAGGGGCCTAAGTTGTTCTCGAGTTGTGTAGGTGACGTATTGCTCTGGCGTTTATGGTTCCCTGGTAACACTGAGCTATTGTTTATTCCCAAACGGGTCGAAGTTCTGGCAGCATGGAGGGCTCCCGTTCACAAAAGAATACGAAAGTGTCAGCGTCATAAACACAATGGCTAAGTGGCTGATCACAATATTGCAATATCGCTGACATAGCAGTTGCCTAGCCTTGTCACAATATTACGCTATCGGGGAGTGGGAGGGGGAGGTTTTCGTTTCTGCAAATTTTGTCGATTTGAACCTGGACGGATCTGGGCGAGATATGAGGCCACAGAGCTCATGGGCATTGCACATACACTAACATAATTTCCCAGAAGTATATATTGAACTAAAGCAACCATGGAAGCTTCTTTAAGCTTTTCTCCACCTGCATAGCTAAGCAATTTGACAAATGACATCTCAAACTACGGCTAATCTATCATGGACCAGACGCTGAGGAGCTTTTTGTGGCCCTGGCTTTTTCGCCCATCTTCCAACGGCAACAACAAGCATGCTGCTGTCCATGATGCTACTGCGGGAAGCCCTGCACCCTGCAACTGGCTGGCAATCGATGATTCCCAGCTGATTCCTACTCGATTCCCTATCAGTATCAGATCAATGAGTAGCGACGACGTGCTCACTCAGGTGTTAATGATTGGTCTGATGACAGATAGCGGAGGGTTGAGCCGTCTTCGGCCAGATTGCATCGTTCTGGAAATACGATCTCGGTGGGAAAAGAGGTGAGGGGTCGGATGAGGAATGAAGGATTAGGTTGTTAGCCTGGGAAAGGAGTAAGAGGGAAATATATTTGTATTGGAATCTGACCGATTCGAACGAGGCAGCATTTTCTTTATAGGATACCCCTAGTGTCAGCATCCTTTAGCCTTTTCAGAATCGAAAGAATCTCATGTGGATCAATGAAGACCCACAATACACGGAATTCGTGCCGGTTGGAGCAAAACCCTACACTCTCTTCAAATCCGTCTACACGAATAACACCAACAGGTTAGTTGTATGGGGCAACCACGGCTCGCCGTTAGGCTTATTATCTCCTAACGAGCAACCCATAATTACCAGTTAAGCCATTTATCCCCACATTTCAGGCCCCAAGAGTACTCATTCAAAACGGAGCGAACGACCGAGTCACTTTGTTCGATTAGTCGAGAGCAAGGCTATTCAATGGGAGCTGAAGCTGAACTCACTTTGAAGACTCCATGTAGGTTCTTTCCCATTTGGGACAATGATGATGAGATGAATTTTCCGTTACTGCTAATCCAATCAACGCCGATTCCACGCAATGTAGCCGAGCGCGTAACAAACAGTCCACTTTTTGTGGGTTCGGGGACACTCAATTACTGGCAACACCGGGAAATGTAACTGATAGATTCTTTCTTTTCAAGTGGACTAGTTGTTGAGGTTGTACAGCTTGTTTTGATCAGGAGTTAGTGTACTGGGGTAACTTTTTTGCTTGGGTACCCCTTTTCCCATGGAAGAAAGGGTGGGGAGTGCAAAGGAGTAACTTATTTTGGGTAAATGGAGGTAGCATAGTTATAAAAACATGAGTGCTGCTACGTTCACTGTCTGCAAATGGAGTAAGAATTGACGGAATTGAATTATGACCGTGACGGCTTGGTTTGGGATGAAACACCCTAACTTACCCATGGGCCCCATCTCCCATTAGATACAGCCATTGGAAAGGGAATCATTTCAAAATAAATGCTGTCACTACTATTACTTATTACCATTACTGTTCGTTTACAAGTACAAGCATATTCATTACTTTTATTTGGTTTT